TCCCGCTCGGTCCGGCTCGGTCCCGCTCGGTCCCGCTCGGTCCCGCTCGGTCCCGCTCGGTCCCGCCCGGCCCCCGCAGCTCGGAGCGGCCCCAGGCTGACTTACGTGAGCACGTAGTTGACGCTGACGATGCAGTGCGGGCGGGAGGAGCGGCTGTTGTGCACGATGGTGGCGTAGCTCTGCACCCACACCCAGCCGCCGTGCTTGGCCAAGAAGCGGTAGTACTTGGTGGTCACCTGCCCTTTCACCAGCACTGCGGGGACAAAGCGAGGAGAGCCTCAGCTTGGCTCCAGCCTCTGGTTTGATCAGCCCCGTGGAAGGGGCGCACACTCCCTCCAGAGCCCTGCGGGCGGCCAGAGGGTTTAGGAACCTCTTAGCGGCGGGGACAAGGGCGGTGGAGTCCCAGGCAGGGCTCATCCCAGTACCTGAGATCGTTATCAAAGGCTGATAGGGGAGATTGGTAGGGCCGGAGTGTGTGTGTCTGTGTGTCTGTGTGTGCTTATTTGTGGTCGGCTATGGCAACCTCGGAACCCCACATACCCCCACCTTGAAGTATCATCATCGAGATTTTGTTCTGTAAATCTGTCTTTGGGTTTTATCTCTTCTCGTTGTGTAAGGAAACTTACCGGTAATTAATATCCTTTTTATTCATCTGTCCGTGTATTAATGTCATTATGACATCAAAACAGAGTAAAGTACATCTCGCCAAATCAGGCTCACTATTGCAGCCGAAATTAGATATACAGATAAGATTTGTAAGACTTGGTAGAAGTGAAAAAAAAGTATTTGAATTTCACTGGCATGGCTTTTTGGAGCAGGAAAAAAGGATTTTCCTAGACAGAATTTGAAGAGACAAGAGCGCCCGAGACTTGTGCAGGGCAGCTCTTGTCCTACAACCAAAAGAAGAGGATGGAAAAATAGCCTTTCACTGTCGATCCCCTTCATTTGCTGCCTGCGTCCAGCTCAGAGTTCAGTCTCCATCTAACCTTGTTTCACTACAACCTGAAGATTTTGCTTATTCTGCCCTCCAGAGAGCTGGCTTTACACGTTCCGACCTAGAGGTAGATCCCAGCAGCCCTAAAGTCCTTCTGCAAAGGGAGAAGATGAGGGGCGGGGTTTTAAACAAGAAGACATCCTTACACAAGTGATGTGCGCAGCGCAGGTGAAAGGTGTCACAGCCATGGACGTGGTGGTAAAGGGTCTTCTCTATCAAGTCCTGGGGCTCGTATCCTGTTAGCTCAGCTACCCTGCAAGAGATATAAGCAGCAAATATAAGTGGGTGAGAGAAGAGGAAAGGAGGCCTGGGGAAGAAGGGACGAGCTAGGAGAATAGATTTGGAAATAACCCCAGCTCACCTGGAATCTAAGAATATGAGCTTCATGTCTAAGCTGGCCCGAAACATGAACATATTGCTGTGGAGCTTGATCTCCGTCACGGCGCTGGGCGGCAGCGAGTGGCCCACGGCGACCAAGCCAACATTTTGGTAGCAGCCGTCGAAGGGGGACATGTCCAGGCTGTACTGGCGGATCTTCAGGTACCCGCTGCAGTGAATGACCTGCCAGAGACACAGGAAAGCTTTGCGGCTACCCAGAGTGGGGAAGGGTGTGCTGAGACAGGCGTCCCTCGTCACGAAGAAGGCCCGGCCAATACCCCCATCCCCCTGCCGGGCTCCCGGGAGCCGCTGACCCGCATCTCTGCCCTGGCAGAGCGGCACCGGCTGGGAGCTCTCTGCGGTTCCATCGGGGTTGAGGGTTTTTTTTCCCATACTAGAGTTCAGCGCCGATCTAAGGTCCTTTAGAGTCGACAAGATTTTTTTTTTTTTTCCACTGGCTTAAGTGTTTTTTGGCCCACTTCCTAACTGCGCTTTTATTATTCTTCTGAAAAGGAAAGACGAGGAGCTACCAATCCACTGCAACAATCCATTATGACATTGTAATGAAGAGTGTATGCGTGTGAGAAAGAGTTTACGTGTGTGCATATGTCACGTGTGTAGGATACATTTATTATATAGATGGGGCAGGCGCAATCCATGGCCAAAAAGTACCTTTGATTTAAAGTACATCTCCTAAACGTATCCTTGCAGACAACTGCTGTCTACTTCCACTCTTACTTCTCTATTATTGTTTCCTCTTGGAGTTCAGCAGGTGTTCTTGGTCTACGGTACATCATGACACAACATCTCCTTGGGTTAGGGGTACAAGCCCCTGCTCGGAGTTGTGTGGCTGACACAACACAGCGAGGAGCTAGGAGAGAGCGTAGGGCTTTCCTTAGCGAGGAGCCCCGTGAAGCACCTGGTCAAAACCCTTAACTGGGACAGCTACCTCTGCAGCTGACGAATTACCTAATAAAGAAACTAATTAACCCAGGGTTCCCATTGTATCACCTGAGAGCCGTCACTGGGAATCTCAGTGGTTGTGCGAGGTTCAATTCAAAGAGGGAAAAAAAAAAAAAAAAGCCCACAAACAGCATCAAGGGGAGCTCGATTGCTTTTGGTTTTGTGGTTTGAGCTCTTCAACCTGAAACTCTGAGAGAAATGAACCACATGAAAGAGTCCTGGGCTGGGAAAACCCCCGCAAGAAAAGGTCTCCCCCATCTTCTCTCCCCATTTTCACAGCCTTCCCGGCGCAGGAAGGCGGGTGCGGGGGAACGCAGAATCTGGCCGCGGGCACGCACCTTGTAGCCCCCGCAGGTAAGACCCGCGTTCCTCTTGGCCAGAACGCACTTCATCCTCAGGAAAAAGGATCTCTCGATCTCGTACTCTGGGAAGGGAGGAAGGCAGAGGTGGGGTGAGCCCCAGGCTCCGCTGGCTCTGCGTGGTGGCCAGGCGGGGGCGGGGGCTGTGTACTTTACCCTGCACGAAGTGCGAGTGGTAAGGCTGGTGCGCCGTCAGCACCGCCGTCATCTCGTCATGGTCGGCGGGGTGGATGTACTCGTAAATGCTGTTGCCAGTCAGCTCTACCTGTGAGAGAGGAGGAGGAGGAGGAGGGCTCATCGCCGGCACGGCGCACCTTCTCCTGTCAGTCGCGGGGGTGGTGCAGGCAAGCACAGGGGCTAGCAGACCCCCCAGCGTACCTGCGACAAGCCCAGGTGCACCGAGGCGGTCTCCGAGATGTACATGATCTTGCCATCCGGAGCCACAACAAATATGAAACCGTCCAGAGTCTGCAGAAGAAAGTTGGGAATATAAATAAATCAATATAGAGAGATCCATTAAATACCTGTCCCTCCGATTTGTTTTAGAAAACGTGTGTCTATGCTCAGGCTCTGATTATTCAAGAAGCTGGAAGGAAATGGGCAAATCTTGGACAAGAATCCCTCTAAAGCTGCCGGAGCCCTGAGACACAACCCACTTCTCAGAGGTGTTGAGCTCAAAAGTAATGCAAAATGCCTTGGAAGTATCTAAGAAGAGGTCCTGGCTACCTAGTGATTAATATGTGGGTCCCAAAAATCCCGAATACTTCTATTTCAAATGTCACAGGGTGCTTGTGTGTTTTATAAGGAGAATTTAAGCAATCAAAGAGAATCTAAAACTCTCCACAGTGTAAATAACACAATTTGTCAGATGCATTTCAGCAGACACAAATGGGACTTCTGAGTGTACCAAGATCAGAACAAGCCCTCCAAAGGCCACACGATTCTGCCAGAAACACGTGGTGATGATCATCGCTAATATTCTTTACTGTTTCAGAGGGCTGTGAGTTTTCAGACGTGTCCTCCCTGATTTGTGTCCCTGCTAATGTCGGTGCCGGCTGAGTCCTTCTGTCCTGGAAAGCCTTCCCTAACCTGTCGCTAGGGCCTCTCCCTGCCACACCACTTTGAGCTTCATAACATCTATGATACATGCCACTTTGTAAATAAATTGGGGAAAAGTCGTGCTCCTGTATCTCTGCCACCCTGGGACACACTGTGAATCCCTCACTGTGGACGCAGTGTTAGATGATTCTGAGGCAAAGGACCCAGAGGGACCAAGCCACAGCCCCAGCAAAACACACGACATTGAATCACAGTTGTTCACATTCTGAAGTGGTTTCCTTCCTGCCTACCTTTCTATTAAACACTTGAACAGTTAAAAATTAGTCAAGGTGGCAATTGAAAGCTCAGAATAGGGAATTATATCTTTAATCATTAATACCATATGCCTGTCGTTTCCAGACTAGTACCTGCAAAAGATGGGATCCCAGTTCTCGTCCAACATTATCCAGTGGACTGGTTCGGCTGGAGTGGCCCCAGGCTTCTCCAAGTCCTGATATTTAACACAAACAAAAAAGAAAAGTAAGGTCAGGAGATGAAAAATTGGCTCGTGTGGGCCTGATGGAGGGAACATTTTTTCTTTGAATACACTCTAAATCATACATACATACATACAATCTTTGGAAAACTAGGTGCGACTTCATTGCAGATAGAAGTCTCTTCTGTACTTTTTTTTTTTTTTTTCAATATCTGATTCCTCAGAAAGAAAGATACCCGAGTATTTATTTTAAGTTAACGGTGAAATTAATTTCTTAAGATCTAAGTGAAACAGCATGCCAGCTTGAAGTGCTTTTCAGTGCTGCTTTCTGCTAGTGGAAACTGTCCCCCTTGAACTTCAGGGAAAGCGTCTTAACCTCTCGATTTCTCAGAAAGTCACTGTCCAACGCCCTCCCTCCTGCCCCACGAAGTCTGTCTCCAGGATTCACCTCTATCCCTTCCATCTCTCCTGCTGCTGCTCCCGTGGGCGGGATGGTTCCCGCTGCAAGGAGAGGCGATGTGCCTCCATAGAAACCCTTCCAGAAATTAAGCTTTCCGGATTTAATCTAATGTTTTGCACACCTCTTGTTTTCTCCTATGCAAAGTGGGGAGTAATAAAAGCCACGTGGAAGTTACTTCACCGGAATAAAGCTATTCATGGACGATGCCTTTTCACGGTGTTGTTGCTGAAATAATTTTAACGGGTCAATTAAAACCTTTGAGGCTTGTGCCTTGAAATAAGTCTCACTCCAACACGCACAAGAGGTAAGACAGAGTAAAACGGAGGGGAAACCTACAAATCCTGATCGATGGCTGGGATGCAGGTCGCAAGGGGACCCGAGCTGACGGGGTGTGCTCACCACGGCAGTGAGGGTTCGGGAAAGGCAAGACCTTGTTTTCCAGTTATTTCGAGACAAACAGACAAGGTGCTGACAGCAGGTAGCCGCGAGCATCCCTCGCTATTGACCGGCCTCACCCAGGTGTTTGCCGGTCCGAGCAAAGCTAACGGGGCATCCCAGGGCGGCCCCAGAGCCGGAGCCGTGCGCCCCCCTCGTCCCCGCCTTTCGCTTCCTTCTCTCCCCTTCCTCCTCCACCTCTTCACAACAACTTGTCTCTTCACCGCTCCTACACTGTTTTCCTGCTTCCTTAACTTCATAGCCCTACAGAGGCAGAAGATTGTCTCTGGCCCGTTCCTCACCCTGCAGCCTCAGCATGTAGCAGGTCGCCAGTCAGAAACAGGCTCCTTCCCATTGATTCCTCCACGCCAATTAACGGGGAGCCAGCCGCCAGGATGGAGGATCACCTCCGCCCCCCGTACTCAGGAAGGAGCTGGCAAATCTTACACAGCTTCCAGGGAAAGAGAGAAAAGCCCACGGTATATTTGTTTTTCCCGAGCTCCTCGGAGGTTTCTCTGCTGGGGAGCCAGGGTGGCCCGTTAGCACATCCCCCCACCCGGAGGGAAATCTGAGTGACAGGTTTCTTTATTCAAGACCAAATCTGCACTGCCCGCCTATGATTTAAGTTGCTTATTAATCTAAGTTTATGGCTCTAATTATTTTTCTCCTAAAAGAGAAAATAACCCGACCTCAGCGGGTTAATGAACAGCTCACGGGCACTGCAGGTTAACCTCCCTCGGGAAGGCGGCTCTTCACGGCGCACTGAGCTCCTCTATGTGCTTCAGGTGGAAACGCCGCGCTGCTGGGCTCTGTCTGCTCATGGTTTATAATTAAACGTTTTCACTTGTCTACCTGAACCGGCTTTTTGAAATCCTGTCACACGAGACGATCCTTTGTGCTGCCCAGATGTTTTCAGCACTTTCAAGTCGGAGACTATTTGTAATCGTTGCCAATCCCAGCCTTTCCCAAATCGACAGCCTCTCCTGATGCCCTCTAAATACTGTTTTAAAAGATTATAAGAGAAAACCCCCTCCGCTAATTTTCACTCCCCCCCTCCCCCGTCTATTCGCTTTAACATGCAATTTCCTTTTATCGGGGGAGCAAACTGTGATTTCTTGCACTTGACCTACCGCAGAAAATTCTGCAAATCCTTTGATTGTCTATTTAAAACAAAACAAGGAAATCAGCTCTCCCTATTGCTCCAGGATTACGATTGGAAACAAGATCTAAAGATTCTCTTGTAATTTGGAGAGCCAACAGCATAATAGCTTTGGAATAGAAACAAGCAGCTTTGTGAGGAGAAGGATAACTAAATCGTTTTTAGGCAAAGGATTTTCCCAGCTAAAGTGGCCGAAGACAAAGCAAAACATAATCTATTTTGGAAGATTTCCAAGTTATGCTACATTAACCTTAGCAGATAAAATTTGCTTTCTTCCCTGCGGCCCCTCCCCCACCGCGGTCTGGTTTATCATATTTACATAAGTAGCCTTAGAAGGGATGTATCTATTATGGATCTAAGGAGCTAGCGAGCTCACATTTCATTTGGAAATAGAGGGGAAGTTTTACTGTTGCTTAATACTTGATGCATTGCAGAACCATTTCCATTTAAATACCCCCGACCCACGGATTACCTCCATGGACTGGCTGCATGGGTTTTGTAATTTCCTGAAAATGAGATTTCGATTTATAAAACAAGAAACCAATTAGTAACCAAATGAGGCGAAGTAGATCCACTAAAATTGACCTAATCCCACAGGCACCATTTAGGTCAGGTCTTGGCGAATGAATGATGAGCAACTGTCTAACATAAGCTCAAGGCATCACCCAGCTGTGTTATTCAAGCAGAAAAAGAAAATTTTTAAAAATTGATCGAGCTTTTATTTCAGAATGAATTTGATACTCTTGCCAAAATATAGATTATCTGCTCCTGCCTAACAAACTCTTCCTCCTATCTAACAATCTCTTTCACTCGATGAACTTTTTTTCCGGAGAAGATAAACTATTTGTGCCAAGAGAAATTGTCTGCTGTCGTGAGGGGGAAGGGGAAAAAAAAATAAAAAATAAAAAAGAACTTTAAAAAATATATATTTTTTAAAAAAGAAGAAAAGGAAAGCATTTTATCCCGCCTATCGCTCATCGTTACGCAACAGCCTTCGCCTATATTGCGCGGAACCTGCGCGGAGCGAGCGTGCTGACTCATCGTTTCTCTCGACATTCTCCAGTGGAAGGCCACTGTGCTTTCCACATCAAAAAGCACGTCCATCGGTTTCATGGGCTCGCTACACCGGCGAGTCCCTGTGCAATGCCTTCTCGCACCCAGCCGTGCCCACCCCCGGCATTGAGAGAGCCGCTCCGCCCCGCCAGCCTGTCCCCCAGGCCGGGCGCACAGCCAGACCTGCCGCGCTGCACTGCCCTGCTCCTGTCTTCCCTTCCCCTCATCTTTTGATTGATGCAAGCCTTGATGTCGACAGCCAATGGAACCAGGGGCTGGGTGGGCACCGTCCTTATCCAGTGGCGATACTGTTTCAAGAAGCTCCTCTGACCCACGGAAGGGGGAAAAGATTCCTGAATCGTTTCTAATTTGATCTAGGCAAAGACGGAGGAAGGCAGGCGCAGGGAAATGAGACTCCGAGAAAGCCAGGGCAGCTCCTTGGCCCTGGTTGATCTCCGGGTTACTTGTCCCTCTGTGAGCATCTGCAGCTCAGAGCCCATCTCGACCCTGTCCTTTGTCTGGCAATAGCAAAGGGGGGTGGGGGTG